CTATTGGAGAAAGGTGCTTTATTTGAATGGAAATTAGAGCAGCAAAATGCCTTTGATAAGTTGAAGGAAGTAATCATTATTGCTCTAATATTGCAATCATAAATCCTAATCTTCCTTATATATTTGACATTGATGCTTCCAACTTTGCTATTAGAGTAGTCCTTAAACAAGACTTTGGTAGGAGTCTTCAATCTATAGCTTATGAATCACGCAAGCTCAGAAGGGTAGAGCGCAATTACTCTACACGTGATTGAGAGCAATTAGCGATTGTACATGCCACAAAGATGTGGTGACACTATCTGTTGGGGAAGCCATCGGTTGTTTGGATTGACCATCAACCTTTGTTACATAGTTTGTATCTAGAAAATATGAAATCATGGCATCATCATTGAGAAGAATACTTGCAGTTTTTTTATATTTAGCTTGAATATAAGCAAGGGTGATAACATATTGTACCAGACAACTTATCATAGAGACCAAACTTGAAGGACAAAATAAGAGATAAGGTAGAAGTTGCTACCATTAATAGTATCATTTTAGATCTAACCAAAGAGGCAGAATATGAAGAAGCTACGCATCGAGATGCTTATTTCAAGATGATTAGCAATTGGCTAAAGGTAGGTGATATATAATATCAAGATTACACTCTTAGTGATATCTTGCTCTATTCTACGAAGCAAACTTATGTATCTGACAATGCTAAACTCCAGACACGCATAATTTAGGAAGGACATGACATTCTAATATCTGAACATCTGAGATGAAAAAAGACTCTAGAATGAATCTCAAGGACATGGTTTTGGGTAAGTTTAGATTGTGATGTTTGAACCTTTATACATTCTTACAAGTCATGTCATCATAATAAAATATATAATGCAGTGTTTCTTAAACTATTGGAGCCAATTTTGCTATCAACGACATATTGGAAGCAAGTGATTATGGATTTTATTATATGTTTGCCACAAATGCCTCATAATCATACTGTGGTTGTCATCTTTGTGAATCAACTCTCGAAGTAGCTTTACTTGATCATAGTACGCTCAGATATTGATGTCCCAATGCTTACACAAGTCTTCTTTGATACCATCTTTTGTTATCATAGATTACCTTGTATTATCATTTCAAATCGGGATCCATTCTTCACGAGAAGTTTTTGGCAAGCCTTATTTAAGCTACTAGGTACACAACTTATTATATCTACAACCTTCTATTTCCAAACAAATGGATAAACAGAGCATACAAATCAAACCTTGGAGGATATGCCGTGGGCATTTGTGGTGGTTCATCATAATGATTAGGATGAATACTTGACACCTTTAGAATTTACTTATAATGATAATATTTAAGTAAGTGCTAGTCATTCACTATTTTTTTTAATACAAGTTAGCATCCAATTACACCAGTAACTCTCTATCATTCCATTGACACCAACAACCCGACAATGGAGGAATTTATACAACGGCTTACAACTGCCTTATAAAAAGCATGGCACCGCCTCTTTATTGCACAAAATCAATAGAAGCAATATGAGAATAACCATCAGCAATACAAGACCTTCTAGGAAGGTGATCAAGTGTTACTTTCCAACACCAACTTACTACTTGCTACAACAACCTAAATCCATAAACTAATACCTCAATGGCTTGGACCTTTCTGCATTTCTACAATAATTTCTGATGTCACATACCGCCTCAAACTTCCACCACATATTTGGGTCCATCTAGTCTTTTGTGTTTCACTATTGAAGGAATTTTATAACGAGCCAAAGTGCTTTCCGGATTGACACCAACCACCACCACTACCAGTTGTAGTTGATGACCAATAAGAATATGAAGTGGACAACATTTTGGAGCATCGCTACCTTTGTTGTGGAAATGGACATTGACAACTTCAGTACAAAGTTCTTTGGAAAGGTTATTTCATTCACAATACAATGTGGAAACTTGCACAAAACCTCACCTATTGCCAAGAGACAATTTGGAGATACCATTGAAAGCAAAACAAGGACATTCTGCATTAGTAGAGAAGAATTAACTGTAACACGGTATAGATAAGATAATTATATAGATAGTTAGAACCATAGAACTTTTTAGAATTGAGATTAGGTTAGTGAACCAGGTATGATCCACTATGGAACATTCTAGAAATAATTTAGGATGGTTATTTAGATAGGAGGCATTATAAAACCTTCTAGAAAAGGAGTGTAAGGTGATTATCTAGGTAGAGCCTACCACTTAGGAATATTTTAAAAAGTCTAAGGTGATAGGACAAGGTATAAATAGGATTAGCTAAGGCCTTTTGGGGCATTTGATTAAGTATGGCTTTTGGACCTTTTCTCTTAGTAAAATTTGGTTTTGCATCTTTCTATTCAGTTTTGTTCTATTCTATTTCCATTTGCTCACTTTTGTTTTTCATGTCCTATTTTTTTAGTTCCATTTAGTTTTGTTCTGGTCTAATTTGTCTTATTTTGTGATGAAGCTTTGTGTTGCTATGGATTAGAAGGATCTTGGATTTTTGAGATAGTCTGGTCCTATTTCACTTCCTCAACAAGTGGGACAAAACATTAATGGCAAAAAAATATAATTGAAGTAAGATCTAATTTGACAATCAAAGCAAAAGTTTAAGATGAATGCATGAAAGTGCCATGATATTATAAAAGAATAGTGTAATTTAGATTTTCAACAAGTTTGACCTTACATCTACATTGTAATAAGATATTAAGGTACATATTTTTGTACATAATGTAAGCATCAGATTTACTCAGTTTGTGTCAATAAATAAATAAATAACTCTAACAAATCCGTTAGAGTCGAATGTCCCTCACATGGGAAGCTATGGAAGCGCCTAGAACCTCAGCATTCAAATCTATTCCCGCCTGTTTCCATAAATTTGAAACGTTCAGGTGGCTCAGGATTTGTTCAAAACGGTGCAGCTATGAAATGGTGCACATGATGTTTTCAGAACTGATTAATTTGAGGAGGTGTTCGCAGCTGGTTTGAATCTGTGGTCTCTCCTCGATTCCCCTGAACACAATTAGTGCTCACTCGCATCATATCCGCGTTCTAGGCCTTCGTGATGCGCTTTAATCGCGCGGCGTTCCTCAGGTATGTTGATCCCGTTGTTTTTGAATTCTGTGGGAGGAAGTATTCTACCTGAGAAAAAAAAAAGATTGACTTAATAACGGCCGAATTGTGTAAACTCCACTACAGTACGCCGTGTTGAACCTTTCTGAACAGGGGAAGTATGGCAGACGGTTTAGTGTGCTGATTATGAGCGACACAGCCATTGTGGTAGTTGTGTCATGGTGTCGCTGGCACCAATGATGAAAGTCATGGTGTCGCTGGCAGGATTTTGTTTTCGGTTGAAGACAGGCGAATTTTCTTTGAGGCTGAGATCCCGTGGACTGGATGTAGGAAATTAATTCGCATTGAAAGATGGATAATCGTGTTGTGATTGCATTTATCGGAAGTAACGATAGAACTGATAGGATGTCTTGGATCGTAGGACAAAGGTGGTTGTAAAAAATTGTAGGCGAGCATTGGGAGTGATTTTGCAGTTGAGAAGGGGAAAATTACAGGGCGTGCAATTGTGCTGGAAAAGTAGCTCGGCGCGGGATTGACCGATACAGTGATGGGAATAGCCAAGACCTGGCCGAGGAAACGTCATTCGTCATAATGGCAGGTAGTGAGAACTATTCCCTTGCAATGAGCAAAGCCGAAGCTCCAATGCAGACATTTCCAAAAGCGATTGGAGTCAAGGTCGAGGAAAAGACGAGGATGATTGAGGGAGTTGTTGGTAGTAGAATTGACAAGCCTGCTAGAGCAGACGATGCGTCAGTCTGGGAAATTGATATAGGAAATGACTGAGATAGAGGCAGTCTACGATTTAGGGCAGAAGGTGATTGTCTTGGCGAGCAGAAAGTATAGGAACGGGATGTCAATGTGGTAGGCAAAGTATTAAGAAAACCACCAAACTAGGTCGGTTCTTTGCTCGTTCACATGATGGTGATTACATGGGACCGACGACAAAGTTTGTGCTGAGTCTCGATGGAGATCTCCAGCATTGAAGAGAAGTTGTCCGCATCGTCACATCACGCGATATTGACGTGATCAGTGGCAGGTGGAGTACATGTGCGGAGTTCGTTTAATGTTATCCCCACATGTTCGTCCGATCCCTCTCAAACTCACTTAACTAAGGCTGCATTGGTTTTCTAGGTCGATAGGGCTTTTGGCGCTCTATGCTGGAAACACTTTAGATATCAGGTCTGATGTCATAGGACAGACTGATGGACTGGTCGTGAGGTGGTGGGAGAAAGGATATCCCTAGATTTTACCAGATGTGTTTTTCATAGTAAAAGTACACAGGCTTAAAATGAAGACTTCATGGGGTTGAATTAGGCATTGGAGAATGAAGTGGCATATGTTCTTGTCGCCATGAATCGAGGAATGACCAGTTACTGGACTACGAGTTGTCAATCGCCGCACCGAACCCGATCAACTTGCAGGACCGTCTGCTCATCATTTATGCTTCACTACTGAGTATGAGTTAAGTAAGCTTTCAGACGTACACTACGAAGAGGAATCTATTCAACTAACTGAGTACGTCAGAGACCTTCCGACAAAGACGGGCTAACGTTCCTCGTCTTACATCGACCACAGCATCGCCAAATCTAGGAATTTGTCATCCAATCTATTGACGATGTTCGCATTTGCGTATTGCGATGTCCCCGCAATACGCAGTCCACTTAATCAAGCCTGGCCCTTTCCTGCAAGAGACGGAAAGGGCAGTTCCGAAGTCCTCGAAATCGAGGATATCACAGGCAGGGGTAATCTTGGTCTAACTGAAATGTTCCACACAACTCCGCTAAGGTTTCAAGAGGGCTACGTATTCAGTTAAAGAACTGGAGGAGACAATAAGTACCTCACATGATGAGATCAACAAGAATACAGGTCAGCTTTCAGACATCAGGCACATCCGCCAGTGAGCTGTATCAACCCTAATGAACAGGAAATTGTTGTAGAACTCTTTTACTAGAGTTAACATGCGTGATTGATGTACATCAATGGGAAGCAATCATCTACTTCCCACACAAAAAAGTAAGGTACAGCAGAGAGGAGTAAGCCTACACTGAATCTGCCTCACGTAAGGTTGGTCGTGCCAAAGCCTAGCTGCTTAATGCGGCTCCAAAGACTTCGAAAACCCGAGACAGTCGGTCATGATCCCTTTGAAAAATTATGATCAAATCTTCGATCACAGCGACATCACTTGTACACCTACTTACTACAACCTGCAACTGATTTGCAGGTGCGCAGGATTTTAGAAACCGCCGCCAAGCACGTGAGCCTCTAAAGCAAGATGAACAGACATCTCTCCCAAGAAACCGACGTGAGTTGACAATTCTTCGCGCCGTCGCGTATCGTATGGAACGATAAATGGGCATCTGCGGAGCGCAGATGTGGTCTTATATATGAAGAGCATCTACGGAGCGCTTCCGTTGACGCACGGTGATGTTAAACTTACTGGAATACGTACGTGATGGTTCTGGTTACTAAGCAGAGGATTGAGCGGAAGCGAGGGTCTCCGTGGTGACGACCCGTACCCGCTCAGTTGATTCCCTTGATCTGCATTAAAAAGCATCTTTCGCAAATCGTCTCTTCGGAGTTGCCATGTATCGATTCCAATGGATATGCTTATAGACTTCCAGCGAGGTGGCGTTTCAGTACGGGAATAATGATGTCGGGGGAACTGAGCTGAGGCAAATGGCCCTCGGTCGGCAACACCTCGACAATCGTGGGGCCTCCAAGAGCATGATGGAGATAATCCGCGACTACCAAGGGCACTGCCAGGTCCTTACTGCTTTGCAAAATGTGGCAAGGGACTGTTACCTGCACAAATTTGGGAACGTGACGTGAGACTGGATCCATAGACTTCAAATGGTCTTATACTACGAATGCAAACGAAGAGCTGGACCCTTTCTTTGATTTTCTTGTGAGGGTAAGAGAGGGAGGGAGGAGAAGGGTGGGAATATTTAGTACTTTTGGAAGCATTATTCTCAGATCGCTTTGGAAGATGGTCTTCGCCACACTGAAAGCTATGTCAGGTCGGATGTTGAAAAGTGTGCGTCCGAACTCCTGAACTGCCATGGAATCTATGTCTGATCCTACAGCGAGTGGAGCAAATCCAGAAACCCAGGCTTTGAAATTCGACTGCATCGCTTCGAACAGTTGGTTCAGGTCGTCTTGTTCAAATCCTCCGAAATAGTCCCGGTCGTTCAGATACCTAGAGGAACAACCGCACCCAGAAACGTAAAGAACGTACCAAGAAACTTGGACGCGAGCATGCTGAATCTAGACAAACAGAGTAGAGAACTTACAAGCATTAGGGAGTCAGTATCTGTACCTTGGAGAAGCCGAGAGAGTGATAATCTTGGTGAAGATTTCCGGCCTTTCAAGCGATGCGAGACAACCAACCATACCGGCCACCGAATGTCCAACGTAGATACAAGACTCAACCTCAAGCTCCTCCAGAATCGACAAAAGATCATCCGCGTAACCGTGAAGGGTAGAGTATCTCGAGAAGCTGAAAAATTCGGGGTCCGTGGTTCCAGCCCCCATGTTGTCAAACAGAATTACACGGTAATCGTCGACGAGATGCGGAATTACATGCTTCCACACCGACTGATCCGTGCCGAATCCGTGGCCCAGAACCACGAGCTCCGAACCCATTCCTACAACGCGCACGTTGTGAGCGTCCAACAAGGATGGCTCCTCCATTATACACCCGACCACTACTCCCTAGAAGCCGAGTTTTCAAAGAACACAACGCCGCCTCTGGCAGATTGTCCTATGCCCTGTGAATAATAAAGCCCTCTCAGTAAAGAATGTGTTTGAAACTAACTCATTGAAGAAATGATAGTTACATGCAGGAAAGAACAGATTTTCTATACAACCTCAAAGTTATCGACACAACTTGCCCGGTCTAGACAAACGCTACAACTGGAGTGACAACGAGCATTTCAGTTGCTGTGTCACAGTGAAACTTGTCCACGGACACGACACAAGCAAAAGTGTCCCTTGATCTCCGCAAGCAGAACAACAAGGTAATCCAAGCTGCACGTCTAATCGTTGTGAGAGAATGAAGCAAAACAAAATCAAGCACCTCAATGATCCATACCTTGTAACTAAGTGAATATATCAAGCTAAATCTTTTCGTCGTAAACGGGTGCGGTTAAAAATTGCGTACGAGAACATCGTGGAATCCTAAGAACTGATAGATGAATAGCCACACACGTCGAGTGTACGTCGTGTCTTGATTCTACACTGGAACCGAACTCCTTCCAGGACATCGCCAACTCACTCACACTCTCTCCCCCCCCCCCCCCCCCCCCCCCTCCAACCAGCTCTCTAACAAACTGCTTCTCGTATACATTCCAGCCAAAAGCAAATTGGACAAGACTCTGTAAGATATTTCTCAACCTCCAGACCCTCAGGTTTCGAGTGGGCGTCCACACAACCCACAATTGAACTCCTCTTCCAGAAAACAGAAGACAAAATCGACTGAAGCAGCAGCCAACTGCATCATCCTCGATGGAGCTGCGTCAAGTCGAGTGATGGTTTGCTGCGCTGGCAAAAGGGGGGCAGCTCAAATGAGTGCCTAGAGAATACAAGAAAAGCATCAATCCGTTATGAGTGCGCGCGTCAAGTGGATCAACACGAGCAATAGCTAAGATAAGATTCTACTTGTCACCCAGCAAGAAAGATACGAGTCGCATACCTGAGCACAGTGGGTGATTGATATACCAATGGTAGGGGCGAGGAGATCGCAAGAGCGGCAGTGTATCCTCAAGCACTCTAAGGCAGGGTTCGACCCCACGCCAGCTACGGGAGATGGAAGACCCCGCAACTCCAAGGCGTGATGATAAAGTGCAGAATGGGGATTCGGCGAGGATGAACCCCAGCAAGCCTAGAAGGCAAAACGACAGGAAAAAGCTCAGTCTCAGTGTCACCAAAGGAGCCAGGTCGAGCCACGACGGAGTGAATCAGATAGCGCCACAGCATCCCATCGCCCTTCCTTTTTTAACTGTGCAAGACACAAGTGGGCTCCTCTACTGGCACCTTGGTGGGGCTGGCCGCTTGCTCTGCTATCCTTTTCCAGGTACCACCACTAGCTTCTGGCGGTCACGAATATTTTATGCTCGATTTTTTGGGGCACCGTTTTTGGTATCAATGACAGCGTCTATTTCTGATTTGACGATGATTCTATTCTTAGCGTTGTATTCTAGTTGTGATCCCACGAATGTAGATTTAAGCGACGTTGGAACCAGTAAAAAAGCACTGTTGATCAGGGAAACTAAGGAAACGCAAGCATTCCAATTTCCACTTGCGGTGACCCCACTTGCAGCGACACTACGGCCCAGGATGCGCCATCAAGTGTCGAAACTGAAATCCTGACCGGGCCTACATACTTCCTTGTTCTGCAATGGCTTCTGCCGGAGATTGCCAGTTTCAACAAATTTGCCACCATGCTGCAGAACATGTGCTTTCACCCCAAGTGATTCAGCAGTTGAATTTGTTGCAGGCAATATCAACTTTTGCACCATTCCATAATTCGGTGATTTCAATAAGGGGTTGATAGTTTCGATCACCAGATGCTGAAGCTGACATGTTCGACGTGGTGTTTGCATCACTCACCAACAAAACATACAGATAGTCAGCAACTTCTGTAAGGTTAAACCCACTTCAGTAAATAATCAGAATATGAATATTGAAAGAACGCTTGTCAAGTTACAACCCTAGTGTTAAACATGGTTCCTGATTACTTGATACTGGGGATATATTAATACCATCATTCTTTTTAAGTGATAGAAAAAAGAAAAGAACAAGAAGAATGCCTTCTTTTTCGTGTTCTTATTGATAGTTGTAACCTATTTTCCAATTATCAACGAGAACAGTTAATATCAATTATATGATGTTTTTTAGACATCTATGTTGATATGTGCAGACATAAAACAGTAAAGTAGCACTTACTTCATATTGCAATACAACAAAATTTGTTTAATCTTACAATAGAAAAAGCAATTGGGGAGCATTTGAAGTGAACAACAATAGCCAGTAAAGAGATATGGAGTTTTGTTTAGAAAATGTCACGTGTAGCAATGAAAGAATAATTACAAACATACATAAACTTCAACTGCTTCGGATTGTAATTTGATATACATATTTCTAATAATTGGATAGCCATCACATGCAAGACTGCCAATGGTTTATTGGATGACCATATCATATACACCAAATTCAAAAAGTAAGTATTGAAGCAAATTAATGTGGAAGAATATCAACAAGTAAAAGTTCCACCACAATAGGACTGTACAATGAGTTAATATAACAGTGCAAGCCTATAAATCCTACACTATTTACGTACTTGTAGTCAAACTGAATATTAGCTTTAAAATTTAAAATTAAATAACAGTGTTTATTCCATAGATTTTATTAAGAAAAACAAATGAGAACCCAAAAACTTTTGATAACCAGAATAAATCGTTTAAAAGAGTTGCAAAAGACGTTCTTTTGTAAAAATAATATGAATATAGGCAATTTACTAAAAACACTGCACCATTGCCCAAAAAACGTATCCTCTATCAAGGAAAATAAAAAATAAAAGAAAGAAAATAAAAAATAAAGTTTTATTCTTATTTTTCTTCTTAGTTTTTTTTCTTTGGTGAATTTAGTTGTATGATATGAAATTTTAATATGTATTGTTAGAATTCCTCTATGGCATCAATAATATAATAAAACTTTGATTATTCTTGGATATTTCAATAAGTTGATTCATGCAGCTTTAACTCAGGTACAAAGTATTGTCTTCCAAAGTAGTTAGAAAACATGATATTGTATCAGGAGTTTTCTCCTCAAAAAAAAAACAAAAAAAAAAAAAAAAAAAAAAAAAAAAATCAGTTTTAGAATAAGACCCTTATTTTTATAAATTTAGCATGCATAATTTATCATTGGATAATTTTTAATTTATTTTAATAATTTTAGAGTGTACTTTGCATTCAATAATGTATATCACAATACAAACTTATGCTGAGTTCATGTTTGTAATAAACATAAGGTGTCAAAATATGGTTCTGCATAACATTTGGAATAAAATCAAAGTTTTATAATATATCATTTTTTAATTAAATTTTATTGTTAGGAGTCATATATATATATATATATATATATATACATTGAATATGATCTATTTAAAAAAAATCATAGTAAAACTACTGTGACAGAATAGACTATTATAAATTTAATTTTTTTAAAAAAATAAATCATCTAAATTACATAGCAATTGCAACTATTTAAATTGATAATTATTTATCTTTTTATTTAGTTTATCTCTTATAACTATATAAAACTATGAAAATAAAATAACAAAGATATTTTTTATCTTATCTTGTATAAATAAATAATAATAATAATAAGAATAATAATAATAAATAATTTAAAATAAAAAATAATATAAAATGATTAAGAATATCTTATATATAGCCATAAATATGACATTAATAAAATATATAGAAAAAAATTAAAACCTTGAAAATGCATCAAATATTTTTATATTTTTTATTAAAAATATGTATTAAAATAAAGTATCAATTAGTAATAATAACAATAAGTTTGTATACAATAGGAATAAAGCTGATTATTTTATTTTATTTTATTTATTTTAAATATGACAACATTTATTATTTTATTATTATTTATTTTAAAGAAATTTTGGAAGTTTTGACTCTAAGTAATTAAAAAAAAAAAATCCAAAATTATTATTTTAAGACCTTATTATTGCCAAAACTACCAAACACTCAAATAAGGTTCTCACATTCAAATAACATTCAAAATTATCATGCTAAACTAAAGATGAAAGTCCTAAAAATCAACAAATTTGAATTTAGATAGATAATAAGATATAATTCATTTATTCATACAAACCTTTGTAGAAACCTCTGAATTTTAATAGTATTCTTAGAATTGGTTGGTAAAATAACAAAGATAAAATTACACATACAAAGAAAAATTAATGTTTAACTTAGTTATATTATTATAAAAAAATCAACATATATAAAGTTGTAGTTATTCTAATTTTAGTATTAAATTCAATCAAATCTTTATATACCATCTACAAAATATATTCAATATCTACTAAATACAATACTATAAAGATAATTATTTATGCTAAAGAAACTTGTTAGATTCTATACATATTAAATAGACAAAATATTAATCATAAATCTAGAATTATCTAATATAATTTAAAATTTAAATAAAAAAATAAGACCAAATATAAATGCATTTTGATCTAAATGCTAATAGTTTTTTCTTCTATTAAGTACATTTTCTACTTAACAAATTCAAACATAGTTAGAATTTTTTAATTGTTATTGGTATTATCAACATACATGTTGCATTTTCTTTTGTATTTATCTCCTTTTAAAGTAGAACTTACTATTAAATATGATATCTAAAATTGAAAAATATTTAACATTTATATATTATTATTTTAGAGTGATATATTTGATTCTTTGCCAAAGATATAGAAATTTAACTATCATAATGTAACAAAGTGTGATTTTGCACCAATTCAAATTTAACATCAAGTATTTTTAAGTACATAGCATCTTTATTTTCTTCAATAATAACCATATACTTTATTTTAGATGTTAAATATGTTTTTATAGAATTTAAAGTTGACTTAATTTAATGGTCAACCAACCATTGTAAAGACATAACATAACATATTGTAGACCTTCTCTTATTTAAGTCTCTAGCAAGAGCATCTTTTATCAATCTTGTGATACTCCTTCTTCTTTCATGTTTTTATTAAATATAATAAAAATATTAAAAGCACCCTTTAGATAGAAAAAAATCTACTTTGTTGCTTTTCAACATTTATTTTTTAGATTTTTTATATATGTACTAATTGTACTTACAACATACAAGTTATATGATTTAGTATATACTATTGCAAACATGAAATTGTTTGTTGTACTTGCATATGGAATGTTAATCTTTATTCTCTTTTCTTTTCAATCCTAAGAGGTTTTATTTAAGATAAGTCAAAACTAAATAAAACAATAAAACTTATTGATTCTATTGTTTCATTGCCAAAATACATCAAGATTCTATTAATGTATCTCTAATCTAATATCTAGACTTTATATTTCCTATGATCTTTGTAGACATTAATACATAGCTCTCTTGGTAAATCTTACTTAATTTATATTAAATTATGTATTCAATGGTATCTTTAATCCATTTAAATCAAAAAAAATATTATTAAAATACAATAAAAACATAATATATTTACATGATCTGGTTTTATGTAATGTTTTGAATTACACAAAATAATTCAAATCATTGCAAGAGTATTTATGTTTATCTTCAAGACATCAATTGCTCATATCATTGTTTGAAATTGTGCTTTAATCTATATGGTGAATTTTTCAACTTTTATACAAGGTTCTTCTTTCTAAATTTTCTAAAGACTTCAATTTTATTCATGTTTTTGTGCTTGATTTTTTTAATTTTAATCTTAATTTTAATTTTTTAATTTCAAAGTATAATGCAAAAATAACATCAAACTACTTTGAGCCTATGTTATATTTTGAAACTATTACTATTAGTATATAAATAGAATTAACCTTGATTAATGCAGATAAGGTTTTATTAAAATCAACATCTTTTTTTTGTAAAGATTATTTTTCTATTAATCTAATAATACATTAATTAATTTTTTTTGAATTTTAGTACACATTGACATTAATTTTTATTTTTTTAATTAAATCAAATGATATAGTATCTTTAAGCTTTAAAAATATATTTAATTCTACATCTTATATTATTTAAAATCTCTTAGCCATATCTAAAATTTGAAAAGATAGATATATATATATATATATATATATATATATATTAAACTATTTTTTTAAGTCCTAGAAAATCTTATATTTGTTGATAGTATTTTTGAGGTCTTTAAAATACATAAAAATAAGTAATTA